ACCTCAAAATAATTTCCTTCACTATATTAATGAGATTTTTCAGAAAGGAATGAGAGCAGCATAATGTGTTTCATTCACTTTCATTCCTCAGATGTCTCACTTCTGTTTTTTTCTTATCTATAAAATAGGAATTATGATACTTACATTGTAGGGATGTGGTGGATACATGAGCAGGAGCTGTTTTTGTTTTGGAAAGAAAAACTTGACAGTATGAGTTAGAAGTAATCATGACTTTTCCAGTCACTGGCTTTGCGACTTTGGTTAGTGTTTTTAAAAACTATCCTTAGGCTCATTCTTATTCAAATATGAGAAGAAGAGTAGCTTTCTTTCTTTTCTTTTTTTTCCCATTAACTTTATTATACATCAATAATTATATAGCATATTAAAAATTGTAGACAAATATTGAAATGTGAAAGATATGATATGTAGATTGAGTGAATTTTAGAGAAATATTTCTGAAATGAATACATAGCATGAGATTAATAATAGATTGCACATTGTAAATAAATTATTTACGAACTTAAGTGAATATAACAATAAAAATTGTCTAAAATAAAAATGAAGAAGAATTTACAGATCAGTCATGTGGTAGTTTACGCTGTGCCAAAATCAAGAAACTGGTGTTCATACAATGAGAATTCTCAAAATAGAAAGAGGAAGGCAATAAATATTTAGAGATTTAGAATTTCTGAATTTAGTTAAAATTATAGCACCACATTTCCAAGAAAAATGAACCTTTTGCACAAGAAATTTGAATAAAATCATACCAAGATACACAAAAATGAAATTGTCCAAAACTAATTGCAAAGGAAAAAATCATTAAAGCATATATATAAAAAAATTAACTATAAATGAACAAAATTAAATAGCATCCTATTCCACATAAGACAAAAAAAGAGCAAGTGTGTAAGAAACTAGACTAATTAATTGAAAGGACTGAAAGAAAAAAATCTCTCCTCATTAAATTTTCTACTTAGCAAACATACCTTTGAAAACTAAAATAAAATATTTTCCAGTTATACACACTCGAAATATTCTAATACCTTCAGAGGTAGCATATAGAAAATAACAAAGAGCGTAACCCAGAAGGCCAGAGAAGTTGCTGTACGGTCCTGGATAAAGAATAAAGAGCTCTCAAAATGGTAGTTATGCAGAACTATGTAAAACATATTAGATGAACCCATTGAAGAGGTCATTGAAGATTTCTACAAAACAACATCAAGCTTATGTTGGGTTATATACATACATTTTCATATATATATGTGCATGTATCTCTCTGTGTGTGTGTGTGTGTGTGTAAAAGACAAGGAAGAACTAATATGAAGTCAATGGAAAATGGAAATAAACTTTTAAAAGTTTCTAATACTAGGAGAAAATATCAAATCATGTCTTATAAGTAGAATGCAAGTCAAAGATACAGTATAAATCTTAAAACAAAAATTAAGATTAAATATCATTCAAAAAATCAATTAAATATTAATTAAAAATAAATATTTCAAAACAATTCAACTAAG